AGCACACTAGAGAGATTGGCTTTTATTTTGTTTCCTTTTAATACAACACATTGTTATTTTTGTTTGGTATGGATGGGGAGTCAAGGCATAGTGTTGCTGGGTAATTTTGATAACATCAGAGATTGAGTACCTACTATATGCCAGGCACTATTCTAGGCACTTGGGATACATCCCTGCAAAGACGCCAGTCCTCCAAGACCCTGTAATCCTAGTACTATGGGAGGTCGAAGCAAGAGGACTGCTTGAGCCCAGGAGTTCGAAACCAGCCAGGGCATCATGGCAAAACCCTGTCCCTACCAAAAAATGCAAAAATTAGTTGGATGTAGGGGTGTGTGCCTGTGGTCTCAGCTGCATGGGAGACTGAGGCAGGAGGATCACTTGAGCCCAGGAGGTGGTGATTGCAGTGAGCTGAGATGGCACCGCTGCACTCCAGCCTGCACAACAGAGTGAGACCTTGTCTCAAAACAAACAAACAAAGAAAAACCCTGGCAGATTAACTAGTGAAAAGGCTTACACATTTATTTTTATTTTATTGTTTTTTTAGAGATGGGGTCTCTCCATGTTGGCCAGGCTGGTCTCAAACTCCTGACCTCAGGTGATCTGCCCACCTCGGCCTCTCAAAGTGCTGGGATTATAGATGTGAACCACCGCACCCGGCTGGCTTACGCATTTATTAATGTGCATAGGGATAACAACAGAGTGATGACCCTGACCCCTCAATGGGGTAGGGAAGCTTATATTCCTTCTTGAGGTTACTAAAAGAATGGGGAACATTCCCCAAAACAGGATATAAGGGTAAATCACAGGATGGCAACACAGGTTATGGAATGGAGAGAAGCGGAGGCCTGGCTAGCCACAGTGGTCTTGTTAGGTAGTTGAAACCATACAGATAGCAGCCTTCAGAAACACAATAGGTGGTACATGTTTCTTAGTTGTTGGATTCAGCTAATCTTTTCCTAGATCTGGGGAAGGAAGGGCTCCAAAGAAAGCCAGGCTGCATCCGTGCAGCTTTTCTCTACAGATGCAAATCTTTCCCACAAAAGACAGCTTTCCTTCTATTCTTGTACTTCCAACTCTTCTGAAGAAGTATCTTACTTGTTTTTTTCTTTTTTTTTTTATGATGGAGAGGTATCTTAAAATATGTCAAATAAGTTTGTTTAATTAGTCAATTTATTTTTGAGACAGAATCTCACTCTGTTGCCCAGGCTGGAGTGCAGTGGCGTGATCTTGGCTCACTGCAACCTCTGCCTCCCGGATTCAAGTGATTCTCCTCCCTCAGTCTCCAGAGTAGGAATTACAGGCGAATGCCACCATGCGGAGGTAACTTTTGTGTGTGTGTGTGCGTATATATATATATATATATATATATTTTTTTTTTTTTGGAGACAGAGTTTTGTTCTTGTTGCCCAGGTTGGAGTATAATGGTGGAATCTCGGCTTACTGCAACCTCCACCTCCCTGGTTCAAGTGATTCTCCTGCCTTAGCCTCCCAAGTAGCTGTGATTACAGGCATGCACCCCCCCTCCCCCCACCTAATTCTGTATTTTTAGTAGAAAGGGTTTCTCCATGTTTGTCAGGCTGGTCTCAAACTCCTGACCTCAGGTGATCTACCCACCTCGGCCTCCCAAAGTGCTGGGATTACAGGTGTGAGCTAACACACCCAGCCAATTTTTGTATTTTTAGTAGACATAGGGGTTTTGCTATCTTGCCCAGGCTGGTCTCTGACCTCATATGATCCGCCCACCTCTGCCTTCCAAAGTGCTGGGATTATAGGCGTGAGCCACCTATGCCTAGCCAGAAGTGTATATTTTGAGGCGAAGTGAATGAAATATCATAGTTATCTTGCTGCGGTGTGGCCTTGGGAGATGCATTCTTTCCTCTTGTTTTTGCCACTGTCCTTGTTTGCTTGTGTTGGGTACATCGTGGTCTGATGATCAATAGGCTGATTCTCATTTTCTCAAAGTAGAGATTACAGAAAAGTTGAATTTAAGGGATTATGGAAAACTGCCTATGGAAGCTCAGGGTTTAATATGCTGTGTCTGAGTGGACAGTAGGCCTTAATGCGGAAATATAATTAAATACACTCTAAGGCCCAGCGTGGTAGCTCATGCCTATAATCCCAGCACTTTGGAAGGCCAAGGCAGGAGCATCACTTGAGCACAGGGGTTGGAGATCAGCGTGAGCAATACAGTGAGACCCCATCTCTAAACAAAATAAAAAATTAAGTACAGTTTACTTTTCATAGTTTTAGAAGTAATCCTCAGAAGCTAGATATTCCTTAATTCTCAGCCTTAAAATAGAAGGCTGTATTTAAAAGAGACTTCTGGCTGGGCACGGTGGCTCATCCCTGTAATCCCAGCTACACGGGAGGCTGAGGCAGGAGAATCGTTGAATCCAGGAGGCAGAGGTTGAGGTGAGCTAAGATCGTGCTACTGCACTCCAGCCAGGGGTCTCAAAAAAAAAAAAGGGGTCTTCTTTGAGGCCCTCCCTTCCCTAGATCTAGGAGAGGTTAACTGAGAGTGTGACAACTTTAAAAGTCTGAAAGAAACATTTACCATCTATTATGTCTCTGAAGGTTACTACCTGCATGGTAGCCTTTATTTACCACAACATGGATAAACTGCAGGACATTATGCTGCATGAAAAAGCCAGACACAAAGAATAATTTACATTATCTCACTTACACAGGAAGATGTGAAAAAGTTGAATGCATAGAAACAGAGTAGAACAGTGGTGTTTTTGGGAGGGGACAGAGTTTTGCTCTTGTTACCCAGGCTGGGGTGCAATGGCACCATCTCGGCTCACCGAAACCTCCGCCTCCTGAGTTCAGGCAATTCTCCTGCCTCAGCCTCCTGAGTAGCTGGGATTACAGGCACGCACTACCATGCCCAGCTAATTTTTTGTATTTTTAGTAGAGACGGGGTTTCACCATGTTGACCAGGATGGTCTCAATCTCTTGACCTCGGGATCCACCCGCCTCAGCCTCCCAAAGTGCTGGGATTACAGGCGTGAGCCACCACGCCCGGCAGAACAGTGGTTTACCAGGTGTGGGATGGGGAATGGGGAGATCTAGGTCAAAGGGGACAAAGTGGCAGCTGCGTGGGATGAGTAAGTCTAGAGATCTAACATACCACATGAAGACTATGATTAACGATGTGATAATTAATAGATAATATTGTATACTAGAAAATTGCTAAGAGTAGAGCTTGGGTTTTTTTTGTTTTTTTTGTTTTTTTTTTTGAGATGGAGTTTCACTCTTGTTTCCCAGGCTGGAGTGCAATGGCACGACCTCGGCTCACCGCAACCTCCGCCTTCTGGGTTCAAGCAATTCTCCTGCCTCAGCCTCCCCAGTAGCTGGGACTACAGGTGCGTACCACCATGCCCAGCTAATTTTTTGTATTTTTAGTAGAGACAAGGTTTCACCATGTTGACCAGGATGGTCTCCATCTCTTGACCTCGTGATCCACCTGCCTCGGCCTCCCAAAGTGCTGGGATTATAGGCGTGAGCCACTGCGCCTGGCCAAGCTTGGGTTTTTACCACAAACAGGTACATAAACTTTTCCTTCAAGATGATATGCTAAATCTGCGGTAATCACTTCACTATGCATATGTATACTCAAACAATATTTACACCTTAAATATATACAATTGTAAAGACACATTAAAAAAAAGCTAGGATATTCCAGATATCTTTTGTTATTCATTATGTGTTCACTGCAGTGTGAAGCACAATGCAAAGCGTTTTAAATGGCCTCTCATTTAATTTTCACAGCCATCTCTGGAGTAGGTTATATTATCTATTATTATTTTTTCTCCTCCTCCTCATCCTATTATTATTATTATTATTAAAGAGTCTCACTCTGTTGCCCAGGCTGGAGTGCAGTGGCCTTGGCTCACCGCAGTCTCTGCCTACTGGGTTCAAGGGAATCTCCTGCCTCAGCCTCCGGAGCGGTAGGGATTACAGGTGCCTGCCACCACTCTCGGCTAATTTTTGTATTTTTAGTAAAGATAGGGTTTCACATTAGCCAGACTGGTCTCGAACCCATGACCTCAGATAATCCACCCTCCTCGGCCTCCCAAAATGCTGGGATTACAGGCATAAGCCACTGTGCCTGGCCTGATCATTATTACTATTATTCTGATTATTATTATTATTTTTTACAGATGAAAAAGCAGGAGCACAAAGAGGTAAAATAATTTGCTGTAAGACACAAGTAGCTTAGAAAGGGAAGGCGACAGATAAAGGGACCAGCCCTCTAGTCAAAATACTTGGCCAAGATCACATCTGAGATACCAGGAATGAGATAACCTCCCTCCTTTTTTTTTTTTTTTTTTGAGACGTTGTCCTGCTTTGTTGCCAGGCTGGAGTGCAGTCAGGCTGGAGTGCAGTGGTGCCATCTCGGCTCACTGCAACCTCCACCTCCCTGGTTCAAGCGATTCTCCTGCCTCGGCCTCCCAGTAGGTGAGACTACAGGCGCTCACCACCAAGCCCGGCTAGTTTTTTTGTATTTTAGTAGAGACGGGGTTTCACCATGTTGGCCAGGATGGTCTGGATCTCCTTACCTCATGATCCACCCTCCTCGGCCTCCCAAAGTGCTGGGATTACAGGCGTGAGCCACCGCGCCCAGCCGAGATAACCTTTATTAAGTGTTTACCAAGTACCATTAAGCTCAGTGATTTTTAAGGATATCATGTAATCCTCACAGCAACCCAGTGCGGCGGGGTCTGTGCCATCTGTATTTGAGAGAGGATAAAACTCAGGCTGAGACAACAGGTACTTAGCTCAAGATCTCACTAAAAAATGGGAAAGTGCAGATTCAAACCAAGGTCTTCAGTCTGCAGGCCCCTAGTCTCCAGCTCACGCTCTACCATATCAACCTCTGCTAGGAAGAAAGCCTCTGAATGACTGTGGACTTTTGTCGCCGGGGTCTCCACGGGAGACACCTGTACAGACCCTGCTAGCCCCGCCCCTTTCCCCGAAGGAGACGTCCCCTCCACCAATCAGCGGCGCCGTGGGCGTGCCGCGGGCGTGCACGCTCGGGGCACTCAGTTCAAGTGGCGAGAGCGCTCGGAAACGCGACGCGGAGCAGGCCGGTACCGAGCGGGTACCTCAGTGTTCTTCCCCTCCCCTCGCCTGGCCTCGCCGTCCTTTACCCGCAGCCGGACCGGAACTATGTGATCCCGGAAGTTCCGGGGCCTTTGCTGTGTGGGATAAACAGTAATGGCGGAGGCTGCAGCTCCCGGAACAACAGCCACAACATCAGGAGCAGAAGCGGCAGCGGCGGCGGCGACAGCGGCCTCCCCCACCTCGATCCCCACAGTCACCGCCCCGTCCCCGGGGGCGGGCGGAGGGGGCGGCGGCAGCGACGGCAGCGGCGGCGGCTGGACTAAACAGGTCACCTGCAGGTAGGACGTTGGGCGGCGGAGCGCCAGCTCGGGGAGGGGGCGGCGGGCCGCGCCCGCGGCGCGGGAGGGAGGAGGGCTGCCGGCCGGCGGCGAGCGGCACGGGAAGGCGGGGACCGGCGTTGTCTCGACCCCCGCAGCCCTCGCTGTTGCCGCCGCCGCCGCCGCGTCCCCCCACTCACTGCGTCCTCCCAGTCACTGCGTCAACCCCCGCTGGGCCGCGGATCCCTCTGCGCCGTCCGCGGAGGCCTGGCGGTGCGCGGTCGCTGCGGGGCCGGGGGCTGCACCTCCGCCTACCGTTCTCTCTGCGCTGGCTGCGAGCGCATCGTGGAGAGGTAGGCTGGCTCCTCCCCTGCCGCTGGAAGGATGCCCCCGCCGCTACCTCCGCCTCCCGGGGCTCCGGAGGTGGTGGTCGCTTCCAGCCGGTCTCCCAGCCATCCTCTCTGGGCCTAGACACCCCGCCGAGGGCCCCAGCGAGCTGGCCTGGCTCCTAGCCCTCTCCTCCTTCCGTGTCATCCGTTTGTAACGTTTTTTCACGTCCCTCCGCCCCCCGGTCCTCCGCCCAACCGTGAGAAAAAGCTTTTGTATATCTTCTTTGTATGTTTGTCGAGGTTGGCGGTGCTGAGCTTTGTCTTAGAATCAGGCAAAAGGGGGCCGGGGTCGTCTAATCCACCCGCGGTTTTTAGCAGCGACTATTACCCTCCCCCAGCGCTATGTTCCTCTTTTGAAATTTAACGCATCTTCTTAAGGGAGTGCAAGGGCTCTTTGCTCCCGGAAGAGAGGTTTGGTTTGGTATGGGAGACGAAAATTTTAGAAAAATTAAGGGATGGCGGTTGTACGGGTGTGTACGCTTGTAAAAACTTCGTAGCTGTACGCAGAAGAGGGCATTTAATTATATGTTTTTTATATTCCGGCTTCTAAATAGTAATCAGTATCGACTGTAAGCTTATCTTTTTCTGTGGGTTGAAGAAATCAAGTGAAATGCCGATTTTCATCTGGATGGTATTGATACGCAATTATTTAAAAGTAATTCCTAATAAGAGCTTGTATTATTAAGGGTGAAATTTGAAACCTTGCCGGTCTTTGTGATACATTTCTCCTGGCAACAATGAAGCTCTCAGTTTTCGATACGATACATTTAAGGTGTGAAGAATAAGCTTAATTATTTTATATAATGGGATAAGGCACAAACGCAATTTCAGGTCACTTGTCTTCTTCATCGGTGGATCATAAAAGTGAAATATCACAAGGAATAATGATTTAAAAGTTTTTGCTCTTTGACAGAGTTGTTTGAATATCTGTTTCCCTTTTACAATGTTACAGTTAATCTATTTGTGCCAGTTAGAGCTTTTAAAAATTAAAACTGACCGGTTGGGGTGGCTAGGCCGGCGCGGTGGCTCATGCCTGCAATTCCAGCATTTTGGGAGACTGAGGCTGGCGGACCGCCTGAGGTCAGGAGTTTGAGAGCATCCTGGTCAACATGGTGAAAACCCTGTCTCTACTAAAAATAGAAAAGTTAGGTGGGTGTGATGGTGGGCACCTGTAATCCCAGCTACTTGGGAGGCTGAGGCAGAAGAATGACTTAAAACCTGGAGGCAGAGGTTTCGATGAGTTGAGAGCTGGCCACTTCACTCCAGCCTGGGAGAAAGAGGAAAGAGTATAAAACTCGGTCAAAAAAAAAAAAAAGAAAAGAAAGAGGAAGGCGGAGATTTACTAGTTTTTGTTTTTTTGCTTGAGGCAGTTTTTGTTCTGCGGATTCCTTGCTAGGTTTTGAGTTTTAGTGTTTGACATTGTTTTCGGTTGTTCCAGGTATCAACATGATCTCTTAAATTACTTTTCTCCTTTAGATAAAGAAATGTCAGGTATAATTTTTTTTTTTTTTTTTTGAGGCGGATTTTCGCCCTTGTTGACCAGGCTGGAGTGCAGTGGTGCCATCTCTCCTTACCACAACCTCTGCCTCCCGGGTTCAAGCAACTCTCCTGCCTCAGCCTCTCCAAGTACCTGGGATTACAGGCATGCGCCACTGGGCCCGGCTAATTTTGTATTTTTAGTAGAGATGGGGTTGCTCCGTGTTGGTCAGGCTAGTCTCAACTCCTGACCTCAGGTGAGCCAGGGTGCCCGGCCTAACTGTGGTCTTCATTGTACACTTTGAGCTCTCTGAGAAGAGTAGGGCTCTAGTTTACCTCTGCAGGGCTTTCCCCAGTTCCTGGCATAAGCAGATAGTAAATGCTTCAATGATGTTGATAGAGTCATACCTAGAATTACCCACTTTAATGGGAACTTTGTAAGATTCCTCTGCTTTTATTAAAAAACACACACACACTTGTAAATTCAAGGATGAAGTGCTTGACAGAGCACATGTATATTTTTCCTTCTTTTGTTCTTTTTTTTTTTTTTTTTTTTTGAGACAAAGTCTCACCCTGTTGCCCAGGCTGGAGTGCAGTGGCTCGATCTCTGTTCACTGCAACCTCCGCCTCCCGGGTTCAAGTGATTCTCCTGTCTCAGCTTCCCTTGTAGCTGGGATTACACTGGACACACGTACTCCAGCCATAACTACCTTATTCAGTCATTCAGTAAGTAAACATGGCATACCTGCAATGGGAGAAACAATATTAGTTGTGCGTGAGACAGTGCAGATGTATATACTGTATTATAAATAAACATTTTCAATGTTTGCTAGGTAAACATCCTTTAAAGAGAATCGGGTACACGTGTGTTTTAGTGTTTGTGGTGATTTCTCCTATAGCACATCACTCCTGTGTTTTGACTAAGGCTGTATTCTTCTTAGCAGGGTAATCCTCTTAAGTTAGAAGTTTTGATAAGAATGTTTCTAATTCTCAGAATCACCTGTATTTTCTTTCCAGTTACATTTTTCCTAATGTTTCTCCTGAGGTTATCATTGTGTTATTTCTGCAGCTTAAGTAAAACCTAAGAATACTTTCCTAAGAAACTGTTATGCTGCCACCATCAGGCTGTTTTTCATATTTTTTTGTTAGAGGAATACTAAGAAATGCTCATTGCATCTTCTAGTTCCTTTGAGTGAGAACAGTTAATATTTAAAGAAAAGTTGTAATTTGAATTTAGAGCCTGCTTTATCAGAGTGCTTCTATAATGGTAGATGAGTGTTCTGGTAGTTGAAATAATACACAAAAACCATTTTTTGAGATGGAATCTTGGTCTGTCGCCCAGCCTGGAGTGCAGTAGTGTGTTCTTGGCTCACTGCAACCTCCGCCTCCGGGGTCCAAGCAATTCCCTAGTAACTGGGATTACAGACACCTGCCACATTCTTAATAGAGAAGGGGTTTCATCATGTTTGTCAGGCCAGGCTGGTCTCGAACTCCTGACCTCAGATGATCTGCCCTCCTCAGCAGCCCAAAGGGCTGGGATTACAGGGGTGAGTCACCACACCTGGCCTTTTCTTCTTTATTTTTATTTATTTATTTTATTAAGATGGGGTCTCATTCTGTCTCCTACACTGGAGTGCAGTGGCAGTGTCTTGGCTCACTGCAGCCTCCACTTCAGGCTCAAGCAATCCTTCCACCTCAACCTCACCAGTAGCTGGAACTACAGGCATAAGCCACCATGCCCGGCTAGTATTTTTTGCATTAAAATGTTAGAGGCAGGGTCTCACCCTGTTTCCTGGGCTGGTCTTGAACTCCTAAGGTCAAGCATTTTACCCACCTCAGCCTCCCAAATTTCTAGGATTACAGGTGTGAGGCACCATTCTTGGCCTCAAAAGCGTTGTTTTGAGACTGAGTCTCTCCTTCTGTTGCCCCGGCTGAAGTGTAGTGGCGCGATATCAGCTTACTGAAATCTCCACCTCTCAGGTTGATTCTCATATCTCAGTCTCCCTAGGTGTTGGGATTGCAGGTGCTCGCCATCAGCAAATTTTTTTGTATTTTTAATAGAGATGGAGTTTCACCATTGCCTGACCTCAGGTCATCCACCTGCTTCGGTCTCCCAAAGTCCTGAGATTACACACATGGACTACCCTACCCAGCCTCAAAAGTTTTTTTTTTTTTTTTTTTTTGGTTCGGGGTCTCACTCTTGGCCAGGCTGGAGTACAGTAGCATGATCTCAGCTCACTGCAACCTCCGCCTCTGGGCTCAATTAATTCTACCACGGCCTCTCAAGTAGCTGGGATTATAGGCACTCACCACCACGCCTAAATAATTTTTGTATTTTTAGTAGAGATGGAGTTTTACCATGTTGGTGAGGCTGATTTTGAACTCCTAACCTTGTGATCCACCTGCTTCAGCCTCCCAAAGTGCTGGAATTACAATTATGAGCCACCATGCGGGTTCAAACATTTTAAAAATGTGGCTAATGTAACTTAAGGAAGGAAGTTACCTGGGCGTGGCCACAACACCTGATCTGCTCCTCTTAACACCCTTGGGCTTCCCAGCGTCCTCTCTGATGAGGATGCTGGATGATCCAGCAGTCTCTCTCAGTCCCCCTTTCCCTGCTCCACTCTTTTTCTTTTAAAATGGAGTTTCGTTTTTGTTGCCCAGGGTAGAGTGTGATGGCACCATCTTGGCTCACTGCAACCTCCGCCTCCTTGCTTCAGCCTCTCGAGTAGCTTGGCTAATTTTGTATTTTTAGTGGAGACAGGGTTTCACCGTGTTGGTCAGGCTGGTCTTGAACCTTGGCCATAGCCTTCCAAAGTGCTAGGGTTAGAGGCATGAACCACCACGCCCAACCTTCTACCTTTTCTAAACAAGTACATATTATGTACACAGATAAAAAGGGTAATAAAACAGTCTTTACCCATCAGGAATTTACCATCTAGTTTAAGAAACAGTATACTCAATATAAGTTAAATATCAGGGCCGGGTGCGGTGGCTGAAGCCTGTAATCCCAGCACTTTGGGAGGCTGAGGCGGGTGGATCTTGAGGTCAAGAGATCGAGACCATCCTGGTCAACGTGGTGAAACCCCGTCTCTACTAAAAATACAAAAAATTAGCTGGGCATGATGGCGCGTGCCTGTAATCCCAGCTACTCAGGAGGCTGAGGCAGGAGAATTGCCTGAACCCAGGAGGCGGAGGTTGCGGTGAGCCGAGATGGTGCCATTGCACTCCAGCTGGGTAACAAGAATGAAACTCCGTCTCAAAAAACAATAAATAAAAATAAGTTAAATATCAAAGTAGGAAATGTCACAGCAGATGACATTTGATTAAATGCCATATATCTATTTTATAATTTATAGAAATTCCTAAAGAGGTTAAGATGCCTAGAGAGATACTCTGAGGGAACAGTTTGGTTCTCTTGTACCCTTACAGGCTAACTTGCAGTTTACTGTTCTCTATCTTGGTGACACTATTAGGTTTCTAAGAGGTACAGCCGTAGGGGGATTCTAGTGAACTTTATTTGTCTTTATTACTGGACAGTGTCTCATGGAGTCAGAGACTGCACAGTGGAGGGAACTTTAGAAATGAAATGTGGCCCAGGGCTTCCACTTAAAGGCAAGCTGAACTTGGGCAGTGACATTAAGGTGAATTTGGATGACGGTTTTTTTTTTTTTTTTTTTTGGTGGTAGCATGTAGAAACAAAACGCATATTAACGTTCATAAACGGTCAAAAAAATTGATATGAAACTCAACCGGTTTTAAAGCTTACAGAAATATTTATTTATTTTTGAGATGGAGTTTCGCTCTTGTTACCCAAGCTGGAGTGCAATGGCATGATCTCGGCTCACCGCAACCTCTGCCTCCTGGGTTCAGGCAATTCTCCTGCCTCAGCCTCCTGAGTAGCTGGGATTACAGGCATGCACCACCATGCCCAGCTAATTTTTTGTATTTTTAGTAGAGATGGGGTTTCACCTTGCTGACCAGGATGGTCTCGATCTCTTGACCTCATGATCCACCCGCCGTGGCCTCCCAAAGTGCTGGGATTATAGGCGTGAGCCACCGCGCCTGGCCTTTTACTTTTTTTTTTTGAGATGGAGAGAGTCACTCCTGTCCTCTGGCTGGGGTGCAGTGGTTCGATCTTGGCTCCTGAGTTCAAGTGATTCTCCTACCTCAGCCTCCCAAGTGTCTGGGATTACAGGCATGTGCTACCATGCCTGGCTAATTTTTTTGTATTTTTAGTAGAGGCAGGGTTTCTTCATGTTGGTCAGGCTGGTCTTGAATTCCCAACTTCAGGTGGTCTGCCTGCCTCCCAAAGTGCTGGGATTACAGGCATGAGCCGGCTGGTTTGGCTTTGTTCTGAGGCAGAGTCTTGTTCTGTCACCCAGGCTGGAGAGTAGTGGTGCAATTATGGCTCACTGTAACCTTGACATCCCTGGGCTCGAGATCCTCCCATCTCCGCCTTCCAAGTAGCTGGGACTACAGGTGTGTGTCACCATGCCTGGCTAATTCTCTTCGGTATTTTGTAGAGACTGTCACTGTGTTACGTAAACTCTGCCATAATGTCCCTCCTTGACTTCCCAAGTGCTGGGATTATAGGCAAGAGGAGCCATTTCCCATCTAATTTTAAAAAAATTAGGCTGACCACAGTGGCTCACACCTGTCATCCCAGCACTTGGGGAGGGAGGCCTAGGCGGGCAGGCAGATCATGAGGTCAGGAGATTGAGACCATCCTGGCTAACAAGGTGAAACCCTGTCTCTACTAAAAACACAAAAAATTCGCCGGGTGTGGTAGCACGAGCCTGTAGTCCCAGCTGTTCAGGAGGCTGAAGCAGGAGAATAGCTTGAACCCAGGAGGCAGAGGTTGCAGTGAGCTGAGATCACGCCAGTGCATTCCAGCCTGGGTGACGGAGCTATCGATACTCTATTAAAAAAAAAAAGAAAAGAAAAAAAATTAACCATATTTTTGTAGAAAGACTCTCAGCTATGTTGCCCAGGGTGGTTGCTAAATCCTGGCCTCCAGTGATCCTCCCGCCTTAGTCCCCCATAGGTATGAGCCATAGTACTCTGCCTTAAAAATGCTTTCTTGCTCTGTTGCTCAGGCTGGAGTGCAGTGGCACGATCTCTGCTCACTGCAACCTCTGCCTCCTGGGTTCAAACGATTCTCTTGCCTCAGCCTTCCAAGTAGCTGGGATTACAGGCACTTACCACCAAATGTAGCTAACTTTTGATTTTTAGTAAAGATGGGGTTTCACCATGTTGGCCAGGATGGCTGGATCTCCTGAACTTGTGATCCCCCTGCCTTAGCCTCCCAAAGTGCTAGGATTACAGGCGTGAGCCACTGCCCCCAGCCAAAAAGGCTTTCTTGAGGAAGTAAAATATACACAGTAGCTTGACCCTTTCCAGCACACATTGTTTCTTGACTCTTTATCTTTGATTGTTTTTGACAGATCTGCCATTGTTGCTAAAGTTAGTGGAAAGCAAGAAGCCACCTCCCTAGGACTGTAAAACGACATCAGTGGTCAGACTTAATCTGCAGTAACAAGATGAATGTTTGGAAAATTGGTGCCTGGGTCTATGAGCAGCCTTCCTGTAGTGCCCAAATGGATTATTCTGTGATCAGTCTAGTTCCACTTTTTTTGTGTTTATTTTTATTTTTATTTTGTTTTCAAGATGGAGTCTTGCTCGGTCGCCCTGGCTTGAGTGTAGTGGTGCAATCTCCACTTAACCACAGCCTCCGCCTCCCGGGTTCATGTGATTCTCCAGCTTTAGTCTCCAGAGTAGCTAGGATTATAGATGCTCGATACCACTTCAGGCTAATTTTTGTATATTTAGTAGTGATGGGGTTTCCCCATATTGGCCAGGCTGGTCTCTCAACTTCTGACCTCAGGTGATCCGCCCACCTTAGCCTCCCAAAGTGCCAGGATTATAGGCATGAGCTACTGTGCCCAGCCCTTTGTTTTTATTTTATGTTTATGTATTTGCTGGTTGAATATATTAGTCATGAATACTAATTAGTTTTCATCTTTTTAAGGATTGGATTTAATCCAATTTTGTGGTCCTTTGTTTCACAGGTATTTTATGCATGGGGTTTGTAAGGAAGGAGATAACTGTCGCTACTCTCATGACCTCTCTGACAGTCCGTATAGTGTAGTGTGCAAGTATTTTCAGCGAGGGTACTGTATTTATGGAGACCGCTGCAGGTAAGAATTTGCTTATAAATTTGTTTATGGGTGGGTTGGAGGAAGAATGTCAAAGTAAAAGACATAATTCTAACCCCTTATATGTATGTAATCGATGAAAAATAATGCTTGAAAATAACTCATGGCTGGGTGCAGTAGCTCATGCCTGTAATCCCAGCACTTTGGAAGGCTGAGGTAGGAGGATTGCTTGAGCCTGGGAGTTCAAGACCAGCCTGGGTAACATAGTGAGACCATGTGTCTACAAAATACAGAAAAATCTCAACTGGGCATGGTGGTGTTTGTTTGTAGTCCCAGCTACTTGGAAGGCTGAGGCAGGAGAATTGCATGAACCCAGGAGATGGAGGTTGCAGTGAGCCAAGATTGCGCCACTACACTTCAGCCTGAATGAAAGAGGGAGACTCCATCTCAAAAAAAAAAAAAGGAAGTACAGTAGCTTCCAAGTGCAGTAGCGCATTCTCAGCTCACCGCAACCTCCACCTCCCAGGTTCATGCAATTCTCCTGCCTTAGCCTCCTGAGTAGCTGGGGTTACAGGTGTGTGGTACCACACCTGGCTAATCTTTTATATTTTTGGTGGAGACGGGGTTTCATCATGTTGGCCATGCTGGTCTCAAACTCCTAACCTCAAATGATCTGCCTGCCTCAGCCTTCCAAAGTGCTAGGATTACAGGCGTGAGCCACCGTGACTGGCCACCAGGATTGTTAAGTGTGCTCACTCTTAACGGCTGTTGGCAGGAGACCTTAGTTTCTCACCATGTGGGCCTTTTTTTTTTTTTTTTTTGAGATGAAGTTTTGCTCTTGCTTCGCAGACTGGAGTATAATGGCATGATCTTCGCTCATCGCCACTTCCGCCTCCTGAGTTCAAATGATTCTCTGGCCTCCGCCTCCTGAGTAGCTGAGATTACAAGTGTGCAACACCATACCCGGCTAATTTTTGTACTTTTTGTAAAGGTGGGATTTCACCATGTTGGCCAGGCTGGTCTCAAACTCCTGAGCTCAGGCAGTTTGCCTGCCTTGGCCTCCCAAGTGTTGGGATTACAGGTGTGATACCTGGCCCATGTGGGCCTTTTCATAGTGATGCTTTAGTGTCCTTAGAGCTTGGCAGCTAGCTTTCCCCAGAGCAAGCAGTTCAACAGAGAAGGCAAGGAGAAGCCACAGTGTCTTTATGACCTAGTGTCAGAAGTGATGTACTGTCACTTCCACTGATTCTGGACTAAGTTACTGAGTCAGCCCACATGTAAAGGGAGAAGAATTGGGCTCCACCTTTTGAAGGGAGGCATGTCAGAGAGTTCTGGATGTACTTTAAACCACTACCCTCGGTAAGACTTTTGACAGTGTCATAGTCATTTTTAGTATCATTATCAGAAAATGTGTGAGCCGCTGGGTTCAAGTGATTATAGAGTTCAGAAGAAACTGAAATTATTGATGGGGTGGAATATTAATGTTAAGTCATTGCGCATCTGTTTATTAGAGCATCCAGTAAGGATGGAGGGGAAAGAGAAGATCTTTTTCACATGACTCTATAGGAGCTCAGAAGTTGATTCCATGAAAACTTTAAGTTGTTATTCATTTGCCTTCTGCTAATTTTTCATTGCAGTATTGCTGAAAAGGAAAAAAAAATGACACGATGACATTCTTCTCAAGAAAACTCTGCCAGACATGTCTTTTGCAGTCCCAATATAAAAGGCAGAAAAAGTTGTGAGAACTTCTCCTACAATGATGAATGGGCAATTCTTTGTAGTGGTACAGTCTGCAGGTGTTGAGGCTAATTTGTAGGGGAGCTGTGTCCTTGAACTGGGTTCCAGTCTTTTGAGAGTTACTGCCAACTGTGACTAGGCAGGAGGAGTTGAATATTGATGAGAGTGAGGAATCCAAGCTCTCAAGCAGAGGGATGAGAATAGACTTTGAGATAGAATCGGAAAGTTACTGTTAATTAGCAGTTGGTCCTTATTTCAGAAGTGCTCTTCTGAATGGACTGTGTAGACAGAGTGAATGGAAAAAATTGAAGGTTAAATTGAAGAAATCTGTGCTAAGCCGTAGGCTTTGAATATTAACCAGCTTATTTTTCAGGCAATTTGCCAGTCCCAAATAGTTTGAGACCAGAAAGAATTAGGTAGGTTCCCTATTTTGGTGAGCCTCTAATATTGAGGCAGATGCAAACACCTCAACTTAAAAAAGTTGAAAGGGACTGGGCATAGTGACTCACCACTGTAATCTCAGCACTTTGGGTGGCTGAGGTGGGCAGATTACTTGAGGTCAGGAGTTCAAGACCAGCCTGGCCAACATTGTAAAACCCCATCTGTCTGTCTCTCTCTTTTTTTTTTTTTTAAATGAGGCGGGATTTTACCATGTTGGTCAGGCTGGTCTCGAACTCTGAACCTTAGGTGATCTGCCCGCCTTGGCCTCCCAAAGTGCTGGGATTACAGGCATGAGCCACCTCGCCCAGCCCAACCCAGTCTGTCTCTACTGAAAAACAAAAATTAGCCTTGTGTGGTGGCGTGTGCCAGTAATCTCAGCTACTTGGAAGCCTGAGGTGGGAGAATCACTTGAACCCAGGAAACAGAGGTTGCAGTGAGCTGAGATCATGCCATTGCACTCCAGCCTGGGCAACAGAGCAAAAATAATAATAATAAAATAAGGCCTGGAGCAGTGGCTCATGCCTGTAATCCTAACACTTTGGGAGGCTAAAGTGGGCAAATCACGAGATCAGAAGTAGAGACCGGCCTGGCCTGACCAACATGGTGAAACCCCCTCTCTACTAAAAATACAAAAAATAGCTGGATGTGGTGGTGTATGCCTGTAAACCCCGCTACTTGGGAGGTTAAAGCAGGAAAATGGCTTGAACCAGGGAGTCAGAGGTTGCAGCGAGTGAGATTGCGCTATTGCACTCCAGCTTGGCAACAGAGTGAGACTGTCTCTAAATAAATAAATAAATAAAATAAAATTTAAAAAAGGTTTGGGCACGGTGGCTCATGCCTGTAATCCCACTGTAGCTGCCACATCCAGCTAATTTAAAATTTTTTTTTTTTTTTTGAGACAGAGTTTTGCTCTTGTTACCCAGGCTGGAGTGCAATGGCGCGATCTCAGCTCACCGCAACCTCCGCCTCCTGGGTTCAGGCAATTCTCCTGCCTCAGCCTCCTGAGTAGCTGGGATTACAGGCACATGTCAGCATGCCTAGCTAATTTTTTGTATCTTCAGTAAGATGGGGTTTCACCATTTTGACCAGGATGGTCTCGATCTCTTGACCTCGTGATCCACCCACCTCGGCCTCCCAAAGTGTTGGGATTACAGGCTTGAGCCACCGTGCCCGGCTAATTTTTAAATTTTATTTGTAGAGACAGGGTCTCCCTATGTCATCCAGGTTGTTCTCAAACTCCTGGCCTCTTAGTTTTCTTTTTAATAAGGATGTAGCTGCCTCTTTTCTTTAGAGAATGAGCCAGAACAGAGCTGGGTTTAGATCTCTTAGCACAAAGTAAAAGGAATTAGGGGAACTATAGTAGTAGTCTACTTGAAAGTTTGGTGATAATTACTGAGGACAGGCTGATATAGGTGATTATTAAAAGCTTGATTATGGACTAGCTAAAGAAGGAATCTTAAAGAGAGGCTTGCTCTATGACTGCTTGTTTTCCTGTTAAAATTGTACCTAGGAGGCCAGGTGTGGTGTCTCATGCCTGTAATCCCAGGACTTCATTTGGGAAGCCGAGGTGGGTGGATCATGAGGTCAGGAAATCCAGACCAGCCTGGCCAACAAGGTGAAACCTGATCTCTACTAAAAATACCAGAAATTAGCTGGGTGTGGTGATAGCATGCCTGTAATCCCAGCTACTTGGGAGGCTGAGGCCAGAGAATAGTTTGAGGCCAGAGAATAGCTTGAAGCCAGGAGGCAGAGGTTGCAGTGAGCTGAGATCGTGCCACTGCACTCCATTCGGGTGACAGAGCAAGACTCTGTCTCAAAAAAAAAAACAAGAAAAAATGAAAAGTGAGATTACTAAGGATACTTGCTGCTGTAACATTTTAGAATACTGCCATCCAGTAGAACTTTGTGCAATACTAGAAATGTTCTTTGGTTACTTTCTATTGGTAGTCTTCTAGCTCCATGTAGCTTTTGGACACTTGGAGATACAGCTGAGGAAAGACTGGGGGAACTGAGTTTTAAATTGTATTTAGGTATAAAGATCTAGATTTGGCCAGTGATTGCTGTACTGTGTAGAGCAGCTTTAGTCCCATTAGACCTAGAACTATCGCTTAAGTGGACCGTGAGGTCATCATCTCATGATAGAATACTTCCCCGCAGTTTTTGAGTGAAGTGAGATGATACAAGTGAAAGAGCATATTCATGGTAGCTTCTTCTCCTTATCCTTCAGCATACAGGATTCTATTTCATAGAACGATGCACTGGGTTTTTGTAGATGATAGCAGGATACTCAGCTTACTTTTGCTGCAAGGCCAGGTGATTTACCTAAGGCTTACGAGAAGGAATATGAATGTCTTTGGAGAAGGGGTTTCACCATGTTGGGCAGGCTGGTCTCAGACTTCTGACCTCAAGTGATCAGCCTGCCTTGGCCTCCCAAAGTGCTAGAATTACAGGCATGAGATGCACCACACCTGGCCTTTTTTGTTTTTAAGATGGAGTCTAACTCTGTTGCCCAGGCTGGAGTGCAGTGGCGTGTTCTCGGCTCACTGCAGCGTCTGCCGCATGGGTTCAGGTAATTCTTGTGCCTCAGCCTCCTGAGTAGGTGGGATTACAGGCACCCATCACCACACCTGGCGAATTTTTAAATTTTTGGTAGAGCTGGAGTTTTGCCATGTTGCCCAGGCTTGTCTCAAATTCCTGAGCTCAGGCAATCCATCTACCTCAGCCCCACAAAGTTCTAGAATATGAATGTTTGAGGGAATATTGCAATGATTAAAGGCCAGCTCAGTAAAATGTTTACCATAAGCTGGAGTGTAGAGCCTTTAGATTTTACTTTATTTTTAAATGTAAACAACAGGCACCTATAACACAGGTTACCCATGGTTAGTACTGTTTTATAAGAACCACTCGATACCAAAAATAGTTAAATTTACTACAAACATAATTAATACATTAAGTCTGAATAAAATTCTCAGTGTGCTGGGCATGGTGGCTTATGCCTAGCACTTTAGGAGGCTAAGGCAGGAGGATTGCTTGAGCCCAGGAGTTGGAGACCAGTCTGGACAACATAGGGAAACCTGCTCTCTAAAAAAATAAAAAAATTGTTAGCCAAGGTGGTGGCACACAGCTACTCAGGAGACTAAGGCAAAGAGGATTGCTTGAGCCCAAGAGGTTGAGGCCACAGTGAGCTGAGGTCACACTACTGCACTCCAGCCTAGGAGGTAGAGTGAGACCCTGTTACTCAGTCAGTTTCTTAGTGTAAAATGCTGAAAGAATTGTGAGAATTTGCTCAGGCAGAAAGATGCTGCATTTTTGTTTTCTTTTTTTTTTTGAGACAGTTTTGCTCTGATGCCCAGGCTGGAGTGCAGTGTCCTTATCTTGGCCCACTGCAACCTCTGCTTCCCAGGTTCAAACAATTCTCATGCCTCCACCTCTCCTGAGTAACTAGGATCACAGGTATGTGGCACCATGCCCAGCTAATTTTTTTTTTTCTTTTGAGACGGAGTTTCACTCTTGTTACCCAGGCTGGAGTGCAATGGTGCAATCTCAGTTCACCGCAACCTCTCCCTCCTGGGTTCAGGCAATTCTCCTGCCTCAGCCTCCTGAGTAGCTGGGATTACAGGCACGCGCCACCATGTCCAGCTAATTTTTGTATTTACAGGCGTGAGCCACCGTGCGCAGCCCTAATTTTTTTTTTTTTGAGACGGAGTTTCGCTGTTGTTACCCAGACTGGAATGCAATGGCGCGATCTCGGCTCACCGCAACCTCCACCTCCTGGGTTCAAGCAATTCTCCCGCTTCGGCCTCCCGACTAGCTGGGACTACAGGCGTGCACCACCATGCCCAGCTAATTTTTGTATTTTTAGTAGAGATGGGGTTTCACCTTGTTGACCAGGATGGTCTCGATCTCTTGACCTCATGATCCACCCGCCTCGGCCTCCCAAAGTGCTGGGATTATAGGCGTGAGCCACCGCGCCTGGCCTAATTTTTGTATTTTTAGTAGAGATGGGGTTTCACCAGGCTGGTCTTGAACTCCTGGCCTTAAGTGATCTGGCCTTGTCCGACTCCCAAAGTGTTGGGATGACAGCTGTGAGCCACTGTGCTAGGCAAGAGAGATTTTTTTTTTTTTTTTGAGATGGAGTTTCGCTCTTGTTACCCAGGCTGGAGTGCAATGGCGCAATCTTAGCTCACCGAAACTTCTGCCTCCTGGGTTCAGGCATTTCTCCTGCCTCAGCCTCCTGAGTAGCTGGGATTGCAGGCACGTGCCACCATGCCCAGCTAATTTTTTTGTATTTTTAGTAGAGACGGGGTTTCACCATGTTGACCAGGATGGTCTCGATCTCTTGACCTCGTGATTCACCCGCCTCGGCCTCCCAAAGTGCTGGGATTACAGGCTTGAGCCACCGCGCCCGGCCCTGTTTTTTGTATTTTTTAGTAGAGACAGGGTTTCACTGTGTTAGCCAGGCTGGTCTCTATCTCCTGACCCTCTGATCTGCCCACCTTGGCCTCCCAAAGTGCTAGGATTACAGGCATCAGCCACTGCACCTTGCTAGAAAGACGGTTCTTGAAGGAAAAGGAAGTTTCTTCCCCATGTATTTGGAGATGGTGACGGTTTAATGTTTCCTGATGAAAAGAAAAGAATGTGTAATGGGGAAGTTTGGAAGGGGAAATAGTGAATAGATGGATTTAGAAACAGAATGTACATATTGTGTGTGTTTTGGTTTGGTTTGGTTTATTTTTTGAGACCGAGTCTTGCTCTATTGCCAGGCTGGAGTGCAGTGGTGCAGTCTCGGCTTACTGCAACCTCCGCCTCCTGGGTTCAAGCGATTCTTCCGCCTCAGCCTCCTGAGTAGCTGGGACCACAGGCGCGTGCCACCATGCCCAGCTAACTTTTGTATTTTTAGTAGAGACTGATTTCACCATGTTGGCCAGGATGGTCTCGATCTCTTGACCTTGTGATCCGCCAACCTTGACCTCCCAAAGTGCTGGGATTTACAGGCATGAGCCACTGCGCCTGGCCCATATTGTGTGTTTTGTAAATATTGTCTGTACCTTTTAATATTGACAGCATTTTAACCGATGTGTTGGTAAAATGTTCTACATGTCTGCTTGTTGACTTTGTGTTAACCTTGCTTTGAAATCAGTCCATTTTGCCTGCAGGGTTTCTGGCAGAGTTAGCATGGGAATTATAGATTGTCAAACTGTGTGAAACTTCTGATTAGAGTGGAATGTGAAGTCATAAGTGGTATATAGCAGGAGTATGTAGCCTACAGGCCAAATCTGGCCAAAGGCTGTTGTCATAAATCAAGTTTTATTGGAACAGTTACACATATTCATTTAAATAATGCCCATGCCTGTTTTTGGACTGCACTTGCAAAGGTGAATAGTTGTGACGTTGACTGTACGATCTACAAACCTAATATGTTTATGTATTTGATGCTTTAAAGTTTGCAGATACCCTGGTCTATTGCCTTGCTACTCAGGAGTGTGGTCTCTGAACCATCAGTCTTGACATCACACTTGGTATAACTAGACATGCAGAATCATAGGCTTCTCTCTGCACTCAAAAATCAAAGAGAAGGCCAGGCGCGGTGGCTCAAGCCTGTAATCCCAGCACTTTGGGAGGCCGAGGCGGGTGGATCACGAGGTCAAGAGATCGAGACCATCCTGGTCAACATGGTGAAACCCCGTCTCTACTAAAAATACAAAAAATTAGCTGGGCATGGTGGTGCATGCCTGTAATCCCAGCTACTCAGGAGGCTGAGGCAGGAGAATTGCCCGAACCCAGGAGGCGGAGGTTGCGGTGAGCCGAGATCGCGCCATTGTACTCCAGCCTGGGTAACAAGAGCGAAACTCTGTCTCAAAAAAAAAAAAAAAAATCAAAGAGAATCCAAGGAATATATTGGGAATATATAGCCAGACGTGGTGGCTCACATCTGTAGCCCCAGTACTTTGGGAGGCCGAGGCAGGCAGGTGGATCACCTGAGGTCAGGAGTTTGATACCAAACTGATCAAATGCCATCTCTATTAAAAATACAAAAATTAGCCAGCTGTGGTGACAGGCGCCTATAATCCCAGCTACTTGGGAGGCTGAGGCAGGAAAATCACTTGAACCCAGGAGGTGGAGGTTGTGGTGAGTGGAGATCATGCCACTGCACTTCAGCTTGGGCAACAGAGCAAGACTCCATCGCCAAAAAAAAAGAATATATGAAGTTAGGCAGTGCCGGGCGCGGTGGCTCAAGCCTGTAATCCCAGCACTTTGGGAGGCCGAGGCGGGTGGATCACGAGGTCAACAGATCGAGACCATCTTGGTCAACATGGTGAAACCCCGTCTCTACTAAAATTACAAAAAATTAGCTGGGCACGGTAGTGCGTGCCTGTAATCCCAGCTGCTCAGGAGGCTGAGGCAGGAGAATTGCCTGAACCCAGGAGGCGGAGGTTGCGGTGAGCCGAGATCGCGCCATTGCACTCCAGCCTGGGTAACAAGAGCGAAACTCCGTCTCAAAGAAAAAAAAAAAAAGAAGTTAGGCAGTGATTGCTTACCTTTTTTTTTTTTGAGACAGAGTCTCACTCTCTTGCCCAGGCTGGAGTGCAATGGCTTGATCTCCGGCTCATCACAACCTCCATCTCCTGGGTTCTAGCAATTCTTCTACCTTAGCTTCCCAAGTATCTGGGATTACAGGCACCCACCACTACACCCAGCTAATCTTTGCAGGCTGGTCTCAAACTGCTGACCTCAGGTGATCTGCCTGCCTCGCCCTTCCAAAGTGCTGGATTACAGGAGTGAGCCACCACACCTGGCCGGCTGCTTACTTTACATTTTTTTCTTAGGTATGAACATAGCAAGCCATTGAAACAGGAAGAAGCAGCTGCTACAGAGCTAACTACAAAGTCGTCCCTTGCCACTTCCTCAAGTCTCTCATCAGTAGTTGGACCACTTGTTGAAATGAATACAAGTGACGCTGAGTCAAGAAATTCAAACTTTGCAACTGTAGGAGCAGGTTCAGAGGACTGGGTGAATGCTATTGAGTTTGTTCCTGGGCAACCCTACTGTGGCCGTAGTAAGTATTCTGAAGAAGAAAATAAGAGAGGGCTAGAGAGCAGTACATCCATTTGCTCAGCTTTGACACCTTTCCCCTTTCTGCTTCCATTCCTTTTTTAGTTTAATCTTAGTAAAATTGGATTACCTGAGATTTACAGATGGGGTGAAGGAAACTTTGAATCCCAGTAAAATGAATTCAGAATGTTTTGAAAAACTGAATCCTCTCTTTAATTAGTACTTTTTGAAATTAAATTTCAACGACCCAAAACATATATAAAAAATCAGTGTTTTTTTAATAAGCCTAATCTTGGAAATGCCAGCATTAGAAAGAATTCCTTTCTTTCACATGAATAAATTAGTTCAGTAGTCTGTTATGGTATTTAATTGCAGTTTTATTTTTATTTTTTGCTGTTAGGTTCTAAGTTACCTTGTAGTTCATGTATCTGCCTTATCCTTTTGGACCTTTACCACCCTCTTATACATTTTCAGCTGCGCCTTCCTGCACTGAAGCACCCCTGCAGGGCTCAGTGACCAAGGAAGAAACAGAGAAAGAGCAAACCACCGTGGAAACAAAGAAGCAGCTGTGCCCCTATGCTGCAGTGGGAGAGTGCCGATACGGGGAGAACTGTGTGTATCTCCACGGAGATTCATGTGACATGTGTGGGCTGCAGGTCCTGCATCCGATGGATGCTGCCCAGAGATCAGAGCATATAAAAGTAAGTCTTCAGGGAGATGCATGTGTTATTAGGTGTGAGAATCAATATTTGCCCTTTCACAGCATTGTGGGTTTATTTCACAGAAACATTGGATGAATTGAATAGTTACCAGTGAGTAGGGAATTGCTTTTCCTTGGGCTTCTTGGATGCTTTATCAAGAAGTCATTTCCAGCGAACAAAATTAACTGGCCATGAAGCTGCATGCCTGTAGTCGCAGCTACTTGGGGGCCTAAGGTGGGAGGATTGCTTGAGCCCAGGAGGTTGAGGCAAAAGAAAAAAAGAAAAGTCATACTTCCAGAACCTCAGGCTATGGACTTAATATTTTTTTCCCCTCTTTTAAAAAGTAATGTTTCTGAGATTGACATTCAGTATACTTAACCCTTGGAAACACACATTTCATTGCTTTTTAGTATATTTACAGAGTTGTGCAGCCGTTAATCATTTTACTAATTTTAGGACACTTTTTTTTTTTTGAGATGGAATTTCACTCTTGTTACCCAGGCTGGAGTGCAATGGCACGATCTCGGCTCACCGCAACCTCCGCCTCCTGGGTTCAGGCAGTTCTCCTGCCTCAGCCTCCTGAATAGCTGGGATTACAGGCACACGCCACCGTGCCCAACTAATTTTTTGTATTTTTATTAGAGACGGGGTTTCACCATGTTGACCAGGATGGTCTCGATCTCTTGACCTCGTGATCCACCCGCCTCGGCCTCCCAAAGTGCTGGGATTACAGACGTGAGCCACTGCGCCCAGCCCTTTAGGACACTTTTAAAAATTATTTTTTATTTCTATTTTTTAGAGACAGGGTTTAAGCATCTTGGCCAGGCTGGTCTTAAACTCCTGACCTCGTGATCCACCCACTTTGCCCTCCCAAAGTGCTGGGATTACAGGCGTAAGCCACTGCCCCTGGCCAGGACACTTTCTTCACCCCACACCCTTTAGTCACTCTTGATTCTATCCTTCCTCTAGTTCCTGGCAATAACAAATCTGGCTTGTCTCTGGATTGGACTATTCTGGACATTTCATATAAGTGGAATCCTGTAATGTGGTTCTTTGTGACTGGCTTCTTTCACTTAGCATACTGCTTTCAAGGTTTTCCACATTGGATGTAGCAGTTCTTCATTTTGACGGCTGAATTGTTGTGGTATGGCTAAGCCACATGAGTTGACGGACACAGGTCAATTCCAGTTTTTGGCTGCTGTTAAGAATAAGGCTGCTCTGAACATTTGTATATAAATTTTTGTGTAAAGATATGTTTTCAGTTCTCTTGGGTGGTATATAGTTTTAAATTTGGTTGTAGGGAAAAAGGCATGGTATAAGGTAGACAGAATTTGATCCCTAACTTCAGCATACTTCTGTGAATTTAGGCAGGTTAAACTATATGTTAGGCCAGGTGCCCAAATGAACATCAATCTGTCGAGCTGAGTAGTTGAAAAATCTCAATGAAAAAATAAAAGACAAAAAAGAAAAAATAATCTCAATGAAAAAGCTCTTTTTCCTTAAAGACATAAGAGAGTTACATGCCTGTTGCCCTTATTTTCTGACAGGTTTTAACTAGGGCCTTAACTTAACATAGAAGCCAGAAATAACAACAGCAGCAAACGGTATGGAAACTGTCTTTAATATAGTTGAGCTACAAGTTTAGGGCAGGGAAAATTCGGTAATTTTTCAGTTCCCGAAGTTGAGTCCTCATAGTTTGATTTTCTAGTATTGTAAAGTATCACCGCCAAAAACAAAAAACCCCACTGCACCTGTGTTCACTTGTAATAAAAGCTGATTTGCCTGTCAGCTTGGGAACATTGTTTCAGTTGACTATTTGATCCTCTGAATGTGAATCATTAACTGTTGCTCAAGTTTTTCAGGATTCAATAACTGGATTCCACTTGTTCTCTCCCACCTTCTCTAGTCGTGCATTGAGGCCCATGAGAAGGACATGGAGCTCTCATTTGCTGTGCAGCGCAGCAAGGACATGGTGTGTGGGATCTGCATGGAGGTGGTCTATGAGAAAGCCAACCCCAGCGAGCGCCGCTTCGGGATCCTCTCCAACTGCAACCACACCTACTGTCTCAAGTGCATTCGCAAGTGGAGGAGTGCTAAGCAATTTGAGAGCAAGATCATAAAGTGAGACTCCTCCCCAGTCTTCATTTGTGCTTTCTCTTTTGGGGAAGAATTTAGTAACTTGTGCCAACTTTCAACCAGATGGACCGCATTTAAATGCATGCATTTTATCTTGAAACTGGGATATTCTAATGGGGATTTCTTCTTTGTATTTCAGCTAGCTTCTAGGTTAGTTGGTCTATCTACTTTTATTTGAATGAGGAAACCCTGTGTATCAGTTAGTAGAATCTTCGTGCTTTTTCTGAGGAGATTGTGTTTAATGGATTATTAGCCAGTTTAGGCTCAGTGAACAAACTGATCTAGCTCTGAATGTATGTTTCCTGACGTTTTACATTTGCCACTTTCCTATTCCATCCATTAAGCTAGCCAATAATCCACCATCCTTTAAAGATTGTTCTCATAACTGAACAAAAACTACATAATCTAAACAGAGCAAAGCTACAAGAAATAAATTTATTTAAACGAAAGAAAAAGGAGTCTGTGTGAAATGTCTTCTTTTGTTTTTGTTTTTTACCTAAGTTATTTTAAAAAAAGAAAAATGAACTGGCTAGCCCTTGAGTTGGATTTATAAAGGAGGTTGTCTTGCTTGAAAGAAATGGTCAGTTGTGTGACAATATATGGAACCCTTTTAGGAAATGCCCACGTGCCTTTCAGTTAAGTCTTTAAATCTGGAGGCTACACACCAGGGTGTGTCCTTGAATAGTGGGCCTGTAAAGGGGAATTTGCATTGCAGCCTGTTCATTGTTTCTTAGGTCCTGCCCAGAATGCCGGATCACATCTAACTTTGTCATTCCAAGTGAGTACTGGGTGGAGGAGAAAGAAGAGAAGCAGAAACTCATTCTGAAATACAAGGAGGCAATGAGGTATGAGCACTGCAGCCTTTTCTCAAGCGAAGAGCCCAACAGAGCTTGGGTTCACTTTGAAAAGAATGGTGCTGCATTATACACTCCTACCTCCTTCCTACCCTTCTTTTACTTCCCAGGACAGTTTATTTTGTCACCCTGATAGCACTTACCTAGTATGTATCTTGCTATAACACAGTCCTTGGGGTACATACCAAGGGACTGTGTTATAAAGGAGTCTCTACTGCTGACAAGTGAGGCCTCACAAGTGGGGTTCTACCTTATTCTGTATCCATGTCGTAGCTGTCCTATATTCTTGTGTTTTGGCTTTCTAGAAGATTTTCTCTACATGGCACTTGGTTGTGCTAGATATTAATCAGCATAGACTTGAACAGAGTTACCGGTTTCTAGTGTTTCAGGGATTGGCACACACATGTTTATAAGAACACACCTTGGGGAGGGCTTTAAGCTGACATACTGGTTCTATCCCTACCTGTTTAAAGAAACCCTGGATGATAGTCAAATACAGACCTGAAATCCACTGTGAATAAGGGTTGCGATATTTTCCTTTCCAGCAACAAGGCGTGCAGGTATTTTGATGAAGGACGTGGGAGCTGCCCATTTGGAGGGAACTGTTTTTACAAGCATGCGTACCCTGATGGCCGTAGAGAGGAGCCACAGAGACAGAAAGTGGGAACATCAAGCAGATACCGGGTAACTCTCACTGTTTTTTTAAAAGAGGGGAAATACCAAGATACCAGTTGAGTCCTGCACATAGTGGGGCAGGGGAAGGAGAAGGTTAACACTCAGGTCTGGGAGTGAAATTATGGAGTATTAAAGAAGGAAGGAAACCTCAGAAAACTGGGAGGGCTAGGAAAGGAAAAAAATGTGCGTTAAAGCTCTAGCCTAAACAATATATTTCCGTCAAGTAACCATAGGGGAGGAAGTGGTAAAATGGAAACCCTAACTAAGAAGTCTGGTTCGTCATGCCCTCTGGTGTGCTGGACGTTTTGCCTTATAAACAACAGGATAGAAGATACTGCTCGACAGTGCCATCCCTATCACGGCCTTGTTTTTTACAGGCCCAACGAAGGAACCACTTCTGGGAACTCATTGAGGAAAGAGAGAACAGCAACCCCTTTGACAACGATGAAGAAGAGGTTGTCACCTTTGAGCTGGGCGAGATGTTGCTTATGCTTTTGGCTGCAGGTGGGGACGACGAGCTGACAGACTCTGAAGATGAGTGGGACTTGTTTCATGATGAGCTGGAAGATTTTTATGACTTGGATCTATAGCAACCTTGCGTGGCATGTGAACTGGTCTGCTGACCCCAGACAGCAGCTGTCCCCTGTGGTGTGACAGTGCCTGTGTTCTCTCCTAGGCAGGCCTTTCAACTCCAGGTGCTGTCGTAAGAATTTTTACCCAGGGCCTGTCTTCTCAGCCCCTCACCTTTCCCCGAGGAGTGTGTTTTCCCTGTTGAAAAAAGTTAAAACATAAATCTTAAAGTTAGTTTTTTGTAACACAAATATAACTGTCAGACAGTTAGTGTAGGTGTGTTGCGTCATCTGTTTTCAACCAGATTGCGTTAATGGACTTTTCACACACTTCATTTTGAGGACCCCAGGTTCAAAAGTAAAACCAGTGGCCCTGCTTTGGGGTCCAAGAATAGGAGTGATGAGTGAAGGGACCTAAGCTGGCCGACAGCCTTCTGCTGCAGACATGGGATGTGGACTCTCGAGGTTTCTGGTGAAATCTGCACATCTGTGTTTATATCTGTTTCCTACCCTGAAATCCCTGCCACGTGCACTCGTTCTGTGGTTTTGGTCTCTTGTTTAATTGCACACAAGTAATAATACTACTGGGTAACCAGAGCCAGGTGCGAATGTGTTGAGATTTCTACTGTTTTGCATGATAGGAAAGTTGTGAAAGAATACACATAAAGATATAGAGGCGTAACATCAATGCAGAGTTGGAAGTGGACTCCCAAGGGCTGACATGATGTGTGTGAGTGTGGGTGTGTGATAAGCAGCTTCTCATCCCTGCATAGATGCAGTATTCTTAGCCTTAGAAAAACTTGGTTTAGTGGTTTAAGCCTTGTGTGGCAGATAGATCTTAAAGGACAAAGCAGTATATTGGTAGTTGTCAATATAGCAGTGCTTGCTCTGTCTTTATAAATAGAGAAATGGGATTAGCCATAGAGGCTGAAACTACCTGGTTATCCCATATATTAACACAAACTGGGTCTTGGATGCACAGTTGTATTTAATGTTTTACGATCTAGCCTTTCCAGTACAGGCACTTTCTAAGAAACCTTTGTCCTCATTTGGGGCATTTTGTTGTCAGGTTTTTGTGTTTGTTTTTGTGGATATTTGCCTCATTCCACCCTTGAGCTTTCAGGTAGACAGATGCGATTCAAAATTCTGTTCTAAGGTGTATATTGTAATGGAGTAATGGGTTTGCGGTAATAAGTTATACTTTTCCACCAAAGGGGAGGAGGGCTTAGGAATCCCTGAGACTAGCTGAAGTTAAGTTGTTGGAAGTATTCCTTGATTGGAAATTTTACCTGTGTGTTTTGTTGCTCTGTTTACTGAAAATGACTCGGGGATGCTCCTGGTTTGTCCATCTACCACTTTGAATCTTTGGATCCCACCCATTCTTTCACTTTAAGAAAAAACAAATAATTGTTGCAGAGGTCTCTGTATTTTGCAGCTGCCCTTTTGTAAGAAGCACTTTTCCCAAATAAAACAATTAAAAAAAACAAGTTGGCTCTTCTGTGTAATGAGCTGTTTTGAAATGTGCCAATGTTGAAGAAGAATAATGATTTTCTTTCACTCACTCTTTGATCGATCCCTCTGTCAGATGTTTGTGGGGATAGGTACTTAGAGAAATGTATGTGAGAGAGAAAGGAAACCTTAACCAGCCTGGATCATCAAACAGTTCTACTTGAAAATGTTGAAGACTCACGCTGGGCCACCTGATCAGCAAAAGGCACCAGCAGTTTTCTGCTACCATGCAGTGGTTGAACTTGCTTCATGCCCTCAGATAAGGGGGAAGGTCATAACATAATTGTATTTTGAAAGCTTATTGTTCTGCATAATTATTTTGTGAATTTTTAAGGAATTTTCATCACTGTGAATTTTTTGTGGGTAAGAACCATTCTGCCACTCCCATGGAAGACCTTCAGGTGACCTTTTTCCCACATTTATTTGTAAAAATAACTGCTGTTATAATATTTACGTTAAGAATTTATGGCTGGGCACAGTGGCTCACCAGTCTCAGCCCTTTGGGAGGCCGAGGTGGGTGGATCATGAGGTCAGGAGTTCAAGACCAGCCTGGCCAAGATGGTGAAACCCCATCTTTACTAAAAATACAAAAATTAGCTAAGCTTGGTGGTGTGCACCTGTAATCCCAGCTACTCAGGAGGCTGAGGCAGGAGAATCACTTGAATCTGGGTGGCAGGCGGAGGTTGCAGTGAGCCAAGATTGCACCACTGCACTCCAGCCTGGACAACAGAGTGAGAGACTCTGCCTCCAAAAAAAAAAAAGGTATGCTATCCATGTTTCCACATGTAGGCATCATTTCTGAGTGCGCTTAGTGTAACAACTGGAGATCCACTAGAAGTCTGTTTCTGTAAACTTATGGACCAGCAGCACCCCCCTCCCTCAGGAGTAAAGTCCACCCTTAGCTGCTGACCCCCAGAGGGATGCCAAAGAGCCTGAGAGATGTGTTGGGAATGCTGGAGCTAGGAGGCAGAGAGAGCCTTGAGCACTTCTGGAAAGTAAGAAGCAGCACCCTGTTTGCATATCTGAATCTGCAACAGGGAGAGGGGTATATAGTAAGGTCCAGGGAGTGGCCATTGGTCACTTCAGGAGTGAAGAGAAGTCTATTTTGGAGCAACTTGTATCTTGGAAAAGGCAGTGGAGGGCTCTGACCTAGTCTTGAGTAATCTGTAATGCGGATTGTTAACCTCACCGGCTGCATTGAGTTCTCTTCTTTCTCCAAGTGCAGTTGCCTGTTGCGAAAGAAGCTGAGGTGTAAACACTGATGGGTGGGACATCTCACTTTCTTACTTGCACAAAACTATAACCTCTTTCCTGCCACCGTACACAATAAGTGATTTCCTAAATGTCCACAGTGTGACAGTGAATACTGCCAGTGATTTGGGGGAGGGAAAAGGCTTGTCAACAAAAATATTCACAGTCAAAGTACTGTCAACTGATTTCCAGCCCTGCAAGGATTCGTGATTCAATTGCAAGGCCCATCTGACTTTTTTAGGCTGAAATGTGAGCAGAAGTGTCATTTCTACTCCAAGAGCCCACAGGTGATCTTCTCTCCATGGCAATTAGTAAATTTTGAGAAGGTGGCTGTTGTACCAGCCTGGGTCACCATGCCAGGCCACCCAGCTGGAACACTCAGCTGACCCATGAGGGACATGGAATGTGAGCAACTGATAAACCTTTGGGGTGAAAAGCCACTGAGCTGAACAGCCTGCCCTGTATTGAAATCTTGTTTAAGCAAAATACTTTTTTTTTTCTCAGAGACCAAGTCTGTTGCCACTCTGGAGTGAAGTGGCAGAATTTCAGCTCAGTGCAACCGCTGCTTCCTGGGTTCAAGCAATTCTGCCTCAGCCTCCCGAGTACCTGGGACTACAGGCGCGTGCCACCATGCCTAGCTAATTTTTGTATTTTTGTTGTTGTTAATCAATGAGAGCTTCTTATGTTGCTCAGATTGGCCTTGAACTCATAGCCTAGCCTCCTCAAGCGCCAGGACAACTGGCCGGAGCCACCGCGGCTCCCGAATTTTTGTATTTTTAGTAGAGACGAGATTTCACCATGTTGACCAGGATGGTCTCCATCTCTTGACCTCGTGATCTGCCCGCCTCAGCCTCCCAAAGTGCTTGGATTACAGGCGTTAGCCACCACGCCCAGCCAGAAATTTTTAAAAACAGTAAGCCCAGTTACTGACATACTTGTTCATATCAAGTGGTTAATCCAAACTCACTCTCAAGCAGTGGCTGTGTTTTATTTTCTGTGTCCAGCACTTACTTCACAAACCTTTAAACAAGTTTACATTGTTGATAAGGGAAGTGCTGTGTCGTAAATTGTCTTCACAAGACAGAGCTTATTTCTTTGTACTGAATGACAGGAAGAGATCCATTGCTGATAACAGAATATGCCTTAGATCTTAGTTTACCAGAACTATCCTGGGCTCTTTGTTTAGGTCACTGGGTCTTTATCTCAGCCCCCTTATCAGTGCACAGAAGAAATAACACCACATAGTACCTGAGCAAATAAAAGCATTCTTAGGTTCTAGTGATGTGCCTTTTTTTTTTTTTTGAGACAGCCTTGCTCTCTCTCCCAGACTGGAGTGTAATGGTGCGATCTCTGCGCACTGCAACCTTCTCCTGGATTTAAACTATTCTCTGTCTCCTAGGTTCAAACTATTCTCCTGCCTCAGCTTCCCAAGTAGCTCGGATTACAGGTGCCCACCACTATGCCTGACTAAGTTTTGTATTTTTAGTAGAGGCAGGGTTTTGCCGTGTAGACCAGGCTGGTCTGGAACTCCTGACCTCAGGTGATTTGCCTCCCAGAGTGCTGAGATTACAGGTGTGAGCCATTATGCCCAGCCTAAAACTGTTAATGGATGACATTCTTAGTAAAATGAAGGTACTCACGTATTTTACAGATACTTGAGTTTTTGTGCATGTGGACACTACATAGTGCTGGAGATGCTGTGAGCAGAGCAAAGGTGACAAACAGTGCTCATCAAACTAGCCCATGCGCTCCCCTCCACTTCCCAGGCCCTTTGCAGTTCAGTTGGTGCTGTGTGGCTAACTCACATCAAGTGCAGTGTGCCTTCCTTGTCCCTCTGTTTCATGGAGGTATTGGAAGCCATGTGTTAAAGTGGCAGTCACAAGATGGGGGAGATCTGGATTTCTGTGTCATGGATAGAGGGAGAGCTCCCAACCCCAATATCAGTTTGCATAAACGAGATAAATTGAGATTTGGGAGGTTTTTGTTTTACCAGTAGCCTAGCATGAAATATCCTCATGGAAGTTGTGATCCTTCATAAAACTGAAGACTGCGATACAGGTGTGAAATGAAATGATGGCTTTGGATAGGGGCCTGGGCTAGTCCCTGAATTGAGATCTGAATGGGAGAAAAGATGCCCTGCAGATAGAAGACATTGTGTGTCAAAGCCCTGAGGCAGGCGAAGGCGGACATCCAACAGCTCTTCCTGGACATTACCATTAATGACACTCGATGGCCTGCAGGAGACATTCAATTTCCTATGTTAGGTATAACTTTTACTTTCAGAAAAGTATGTACATGCAAGTTAGTAACGTACAATGTCAGTAACATTTATAGGAATAGCGTTGGATTGCCTTAAAATATCAAAAACAGTCTTCCGGCCCAGCGCGGTGGCTCACACCTTGTAATCCCAGCACTTTGGGAGGCCGAGGGAGGCAGATCATGAGGTCAGGAGTTCAAAACCATCCTGGCCAACATGATGAAACCCCGTCTCTACTAAAAACAGAAAAATTA